TTGGACGGGAAAGCACTACGTATTTTGTATTCTTCATTGATTTTACCATACTTAGAGTATGGCGTTGAAAACTGGGGAAATACATACAAAAGCTCACTTCAACCATTGTATATATTACAAAAAAGAGCGCTAAGAATTGTGCATAAGATGGGGTACAGGGATCACACCAATGTAGCTTTCATACAGTCTAAATTGTTAAAATTGTTTGATTTAGTGGGATATCAGACTGCTGTGTTTATGTATAAAGCCAGGAACAATTTATTACCTGGTGGAATTCAAAAACTATTTAATGAAAGGGAAGGGGGATACAATTTAAGGGGTCAGTTAAATTTAAAAATTCATGCTATACGTACAACCAAAAAAAGATTTTGTATTTCTATAAGTGGGGTAAAACTATGGAATAATTTAAGTGTGGACATAAAAAATAGTAATAGAATTGATGAGTTTAAACATAAATATAAAGGTATGTGTCAATCAAGATATATGCAAGAACAGGCTCAATGATTAATTAGATGGAACATTGTGGGTGTGGTGTATGAATGTTAACACTTTGTAATAATTCTTTATTTTCTATGTAGAGATACTGCTTGCAAACCAATCATGGTAAGATGATGTCATGGGGTAGGACTGGATAAGTCTGACTTCTTCCTACTCCATTCAACCATGTACTAGGTATAAGCAAATTGATATTGGATTAGCATTTGTTGGATATGTGTAAAATTGTGTGTGTTGATATATCAACTGTCTTTACATGCTTGAAAGAATAAATCAAATCAAATCAAATCAAACTTCTTAGTTTTTTGGTAAAGCTCTTTTTCTTTGTCTTGACCAAATGATCAACTGAGGAACTAATCAGCAGAATAATCAATAATGAATAATTGTCAGTTGCAGCTCCAGACTTTAGGTAGTGATTTTTTTTCATGAGTAAAATTGCTATTGATCACTTTTCCTTTGTGAGAAAATATTTCTATCAAATATCATATTTTACATAAATCCATACATGTGAGTGTCACCCACAAAGTATTTCCTCAAGTACTGCATCTAATCTATTTGGTAAATGTCACTTTTACTTTGAAAGGCCAGTGCTGCTTTAGATCGGTGGACACCTTACACACACCTTGATGAGACTGCACAGGTTTTCCATCTCCCTTCCCCTTTCTATTCTTCTTTCACTGCTCACAGGAGTGTTTTTGTGTTGTGGAAGGAAAACACTGACTTACTGACCTTTAAACTGACATTTAATGTGTTTGGATGGTGCTGTAAGCAGAGTGACTCACTGTAAATGAACAGGTGGAGGTTCTACGCCTTTACACAGCTGTTGACAGGCTCTTGCCAGGAATAGGACCTGAGACTTTACAGGACTGTTTGTCCAACTGTGAAACGTCATCATCATAAGTAGAGCTAAAACTGTCAGTCGCTGCTTCTTCCTTCCTAGATGTGTTTTTGCAGTTCAACGATCTAAAAACCTAGACAGTTGGTCCATTCACTGTCCGATCTAAAAAATAATATTCTAAAATCCCAAAATTGATCTTTGGATCCTTTTTTTGGTACATAGAAGGTCCTTTAAGTTTCCCAGATATTATTCTTTGGTGCTGATGAAATATTGGCATTTATCTGATTTAAATCTTCATGATTCAGATTTGGAGATTTTGAATCAAAGTTCTGACAAACAGTATCTTTGCCAATATCCAGCCTTATTAATTAGTGGAATGTAAACTCCCCATGATGCTTCAGTTGCATTTGATTGTATTACCACGTTAAACAGTAAATTTTGGCTTCTAAAGCATACAACGTTTGTTCCCCTGCTCCTATCTCTGCACATGTGCAGACATTGTTTGCCAAATATTTACATAGCTGCCTCCTGCTTTCACTGCGTATCTACCTGATAACCTGTAACCTGTGCAGCTGCTGCTGATTAGCTTTCAGTTGAGTTTAGATTTGTTAACCGAACTTCAGACTGTTTCACAGAGCAGCTACAGTTGTGATAGTCCTATTTATTTTACTAGTTTAGTTTCTGCTGTTGTACTTTGTAATTGTATTTAGTAACCCTGATTTTCTCACTGGGAAAGTACATTCTGATACAGTAATGATACTGTAAAACTTAAGTGACCCCGACCCCCTGACTGAGATTTGCTGTGACGTCACTGTTTGTGAAGCCTCCGGCTGCTGCACAGAGATTCGTTCAATGAGCAAACAGCTCAGCTCACAGTGGAAGGAAAGGAAAGAGGCTGACAACAGAATGAATTCATTAGAGGATGTGACTTTTCCTCCCAGGCCCCCAACCAGTATCAGTCCAGTCCTTTCTGCTCCCTGATTGGTGCCAGGTCTGCAACTAAACCTCACAGTCTGGCTGTTTTATGACATGTACTGAACCTGCTGAGCCAGCCAGAGTTTACCAATGCATTAAAGCTATGGACAGTCTCTACAAATATTGACTATGCACATCTTGCACTGCATAATTAAGTACAAATAAAAGTCACTTCCTGGTTCTTTTCACTTGTTAAGAGTTAAGATATTTTTAGTATGGCAAAATTAAAAATGATCCATTTTCAAATTGCTTGTTTTATATAAGAATCTCTACAAATAAAACTGTTCATGCTTGAAAAAATTGCTGCAATGATTCATGGGTTATAATAGTTGTTGATTAATTTTCTATAGATTGCCCAGTCAATTTTTTCAGCTCTGGTTTTAGATATATTTCATCTCCTTCATTAAATCTGTATTGTTCAGCACAAGCCTCAGTCAGTCTAAACCAGGTGAAACTAGCCAGACAGTCATGCATCACCAAAGCCTGCTGGGTAATATTTCTGCTGTTTTTCCCTCCAGGACAGACTTCTTCATATTTTCTTGTCATTTTTGTTTCAGTGAGAGTAGGAAGTGTTCGTCCCAGCGTCCCGACCAAACCAGCATCACTGAGCTCACCACGCAGAGCCAGCGGTAAGACACAGACTGGGTTCAGCTGAAGCACAAAGGAGCATTTCAGAGCTTACAGACACAAATCTTGTTGATTTGTCATGTGGGAGAAATATGCAAACATGAAGAGATTTATGTGTGTGTTTGTGTGCGGCAGAAAAGGGGGTTAGGTTGTGAAAGAAAAATACTGTGATTGTGTGAGAAGAAAAAAGCCCCCACTGTTGTTGTGCACTGTGAGTTTTTTGTGTGCCTGTGTACTGCATGCTTCTTGACTGATAATTCCCATGATGCAACTAGCCAGGCTTCACTGGCTGCTAGTTAGGAGTCTGTTTGTTTTCCTGAGGTTTCACTGTTCGCTTGTGTAATAATGCAACAGCAGCTGCAGAACATTTGCTGCTGGGACACAAGGAAACGATGTGATCCTGTGCAACTGTATCTGACTTTGGTGTGGTCCACGTAGTTACCTTGATGTTGGTGTGGTCTGTATATTTTTCCTGTTGCAACTATATCTGACTTTGTTGTGGTCCACGTAGTTACCTTGGTGTTGGTGTGGTCTGTATATTTTTCCTGATTGTTCCCTGTCATCGCCATTCTGTCTGAGTGCACCTGCACATATTTCACTGTTTATTGTGCTCCTGTCTTGTATGTTTCAGTGAATGTTATATACTTGATAATATGTGCTCTCGGCTCAGACTGTAGTTTTAATAGTGTTCACTTTATACTGATGAAGGTCTGAGGACCAAGATGTTGACCAAAGTACGTTCAAGTGATGGACCGAGTGCAGGATTTTTTTGTTTTTTCTTTAGCAGGGCATCAAGAAATGCATGACATCAACAACAACACAAAACAATATGTTTTGCTAGCAGTTTACAGTTTTTAATTTTTACAGCTTTAAATAACTTTTTAAAATGGTACATTTTTTAAAGCATTTACTTTTAGGTACTTACTACACTAAAATGTTACTGTTGGTTTGGATAAGTAGTCTATAAGTGTGTAGTAGTACAGTAGTGAAGTCTGTTCCCTGCTCTCCAGCTCCAAATCTGGCCCCCAAACCAACTGGAGCTTCACCAGTGCTTCCAGATCCCAACCCAGTCCCGGTGAAACCTTCCGGACCAGTGCCTGCTTCAGTCCCAGGCCTTAAACCTCCAGCTCCGGCTTTGAGGAAGGGCTCTGTGATTCAGACCAAAGCAGAAACTACCAGCACTGTAAACTCCACAGACCCCCCGCTCCCTCCACGGTGAGAAACACTTTTGCTGTTGTTCTAAATTCGCTGTTGGGGAAAGAAAAAGATGGGTTGTTATGGTGCAGGGGGGGGTGCAGGGGGGTTGGATGAAACCCAGCTGTGCCAGACAGCCAGGAGGCTTTGTTAAATTGGAATTAAGCTGCTGAATACTGGTTTGATGTTCAGTGATGTCCTCTGTAGGTTTGTTCCACATCAGCACTGACACAGTAGAAAAATAAACTGATGAGTTTAAGACAAGTTAGTTCAAGTTAGGTCCTCACTTTTGTTTAGATAATCGACTCATAGTCCTGTCTTCACCTAAAGAAATTATATCCTGTGTAGCCAGATGGATTTGTAGCCTTAGACTTTATTTTCACTATATTCACAGTTTGTTATTTCATGGTCAACTAAGCATGTGTTCATTTTTCAAGGCTAAATCACAATCAGAGTAAACATATGTCGTCTAAGCCCAGTGAAGTTAGTTAGAGAACTTTTACGTTCTGGTATGTGGTGTCCTAGTGAACTACACTGATGGGTATTACCCACTCTACCTCTGACTGGTTGTGTTTGTCCAGCCTGGTTCCTTTCTGTGTTATTTATACAAGTCATGTCCACCATCGTCATCACGACAAACAGAACGCTGTAGCTGTGTTTTCTCTTTGTCTTTTATTTTGAAAATCAATCTGACTCTTTGTCTCCAGACCTTCAACTGTGAAGTTCCTCCCCCTTCGTCCTCCACCAATCAAGTCCATGCCTGAGCGACCGCCGCCTCCAGTCATAGGCTCAGCTTCATCAACCAACCAGATCCCTCCTCCCTCCAAAACCTGTCCCGCTCCCTCCTTCTCTCCAGCCAGCCAGTCTTCGCATTCAGAGCCCGGTTCATCACCTCCTGTAGCAACCAATCAGAGGGTACCAAAGCGAGGACCGCCGCTGCCCCCACGCCCTAAACCTGGACACCCACTCTACAGCTGCTACGTGGTACAGACACACACGTACATAGAGCTCACCCACACACACTAAACAGTAAGACTTATAGATTTTAGTTTTGACCTTTCTGATTTTATGTCTCAGAAACAGGAAGTCCTGATTGTCCTGGATGACCCAAGCCCGGTGCCATCAGAGCATCTGTCAGATGAAGGGAGAAATCAAACCGCTGTGTCCCCTGTGACTCCACTCATCAATCCATCACAGTGTGTCCTGGACATCCAGCCTGAGCCGGCCCCTGACCAGGACCACTACTCAAAGCCTCTCTTGGAGGGCCTCAGCTTGTCACACTCCCAGGTACTGCAACAGCTGGATAAATGCATCAGTCGCTTGTCATGCATTAGTGGATCAAACCTCCTGTCAGCTTGATAAATGCTCAGATGTTTTGCACTGAACTCATTGACACATTAGTCAAGTGAAAACTCGTGTTCATGTTCAGGTTGATTTTTTTTATTAAACTGAAGCAAAATCAGAGTTGTTAGAATTTAGGAAGCTGCCTCTGAGCTACTATACATTTGTTTTCACAGTCTTAGTAGTACACTTCATGAGGAGGAAACCAATCTTCCTGTATAGAAGTAGTGGAGTTTCCTTTTAGATATTTTTCATTTTATCTAAGCCTCTGAAATGAGGCTTGGTGTTGACTCGGCATATTTTCTGGTAAAACAGACAGGTATCGTTGGTACTGAATGTTGAAACTGATTTATTTTGGTAAAGTTCCTGTTTGGTCAGTGTTACCCCGCTCTTTAAAGTCAGGTATCATATTGGTATTGAAAGTCAGGTGTTGTATCAGAACTGCCCCTAGTTTCAAACATCTGCTCTGTGTTTCCCACAGTTAGTTTTTATTGTAAAGACAAAGCTGAATGTTGTTTTGTGTCTTTGCCTTTTAGTCCATCCTGCCTGTGCATCGTACTGAGCAGAAAGAAAAGCCAGCTCCTCCCCCTGTCAGGTTGGACACACAGAAACACAACATGCCAACTCGAAGCAGGAAACATGTTTAAAAGACAACATTTACTCATCGTGTTTCATTTTTGAGAAGACATTTACTCATCGTGTTTCATTTTTGACGTGTGTTTGTAGTGGTCCTCGATGCGTCGCCTTGTTCGACTATGAGGGAGAGGAGGATGACGAGCTCACCTTTTCCCAGGGTGATGTCATAGCCCTACTTGACCTCATTGGGCAAGAGTGGGGGCGGGGCCAGATCCATGGGCGAATTGGAATATTCCCCCTGAACTTCACTGAGGCGGTGGAGCCCCTCCCACAGCCGGAGGTGTCACCACAGGAAACGGAGAAAACGGCATCAATGCATACGGTGGTGATAGACAGTACTGGTGAGCTGGATGGTCCTGTTGAAAATGCACTAAGGCTGTGATGCAGTCAGATTCAGCCATCACAATGTAGACTCAAGATTACCGGGAATCCCGCTTTGTAGCACCCCGTCTGAGGTTTCTGGCTAATCGACACGAGATTTATTGCACTGTACTGCAACAACAGGTTTTTAACCATCAGACTCTTTAAAGGAAAGTAAAAAATGATTGAACTTCATCTTGTGGAACAACACTCAGTGAAAACTACTTCTCAAAATACACAGTTCATTTCTGAGCAGGTTTATGTGAACAAGTGTGAAGCAGAGTCACTCCGTTTCTCATCTACACATTGGATTGTAATAGTTTTTTTTTCTCTTTACAGCAGCACCAAAAACATCACAACCCCTGACCTCAGAGGTGAGTGTGCTTTTACGGCCGAACGCAGATCAGATAGCAGTGTCACAGTTTAAGTTCAGAAAACGTGTTTTAAATACTGCATAGACTCTCAGTATATTCAATATTTCCTGCTTATGTCACAGACTGTGTTTATTTTACCAGCTTTACAGCCTTTTTTCCAAGGGGGCCCTGGATGTACTGCTAATCAATAAGTTGTGGTAAATAGACAACTGATGTGCTGTGTGTATGCGTGTGCAGGCAGAGGAGTGGGCTGTGGCTCTGTTTGACTTCCCTGGTCAGACTGCAGAGGATTTGTCCTTCCACAAGGGGGCGCATATCCAAGTGACTGAGCACATAGATGCAGAGTGGAGGAGAGGAAGACTGGAGGGCCGAGAGGGGCTCTACCCCGCTGCCTTCACACAGTCCTGCCAGGGTATAACAAATACACATCCTTACTGGTCAGGCACACTGGAAGCGGGTTTTTTTAAGGAAAAGTCATGAAACCTATTTTTGTCCAGTACACTTGTGTTGTTGGTCAGTCTGGTAAAGGCTCTGTCCAGCTGATGGACAGACGGCTGTTCTCATGATTTAAAACAGACAGAAGGTGCCGCTCACTTTCAGTGTGGATTGGATGCATTTGTGCTTACGCAACGCTTCCACTGTGGTTTGCCAGTTAGGAAACAGTAGTAACGGCCACATATTGTTGTGACAGATTGTTGGGTGGCAGAAGCCAAAAAGGAAATGGATAAGTTTCACTGAGTCTGAGTATTTGCAACAATACAACTTCTAAAACATATTTTGTTGTCAGTCAAGTTAACTCAACAAATTGAAACCGTCCAATAAGAGCAGAGATACTGTATGTTTAATTGTACTGGCACAGACTGGTGACATGTGACTGGGTTTTTTTTTTTTTTTTTTGCCTGCATCCTCACATAAAATCATTATTGATGTTTTTTTTATGAAAACCCTTCATGTTCAGTGCATGCCTGCCATCAGTCAGCCTGGTGGAGACAGTTTGTCTGTTCACTGTCCTTTAAGCTTCCTTTTGAGCTGCTGACAGATGGTGAACAGAGGTCAGGGTGGACTGAACAGATCGAACGCTTCAGTGGTGCTCGCATGTCCCTCACGCCTCGTGTTCAATGTGAATTCTCAGCGTTGCTCCCAGAAGTTTGTGATCAGCTCTTAACAGGAAACTGTTCCTGTAGCTATAAATGTGTAGCATCATTTAGGAGGACTCCCAGTGTAAGGCCACCTCCTGTGTGAATATGGGCCCTGAAGATAAACAGACAAAATGTAAATGGAGCTGCTGTGTTGTTGTTTGGTGTCATTTGTCTGTGCTTTATTTTCTGTGGTAATTACATTTGATGGCTGTGTTGTATTGATTTTGTGTTGTAAGCTTATAATTTTCCCTTTTCACCTTGTTTTCCATTGATTAATGGTATATCTGGATTTTTTTTTTATGTGTGCACCCCAGGGAGAGCAGCAGAAGCTAATTCAGATCCAGTGAAATTACTGGTTTGTGTGGTGATGCATCAGTGTGTGTTGTTACCAGAGTCTCTAACCACAACTTCCTGTTCCTGCTTCCAGTTCAGCCAGTGCCAGGCCAGCCAGCAGTTAAGGGAGCGGCTAAGGCTTTGTTTGACTTCACAGCAAAGAGCGAGGATGAGCTCACACTAAAGGTGTGTGAGTCATGGCTGATGTGGTTCTTGTTTATATAAAATATAAGTATTTAGACCAGTAAAACTCAATCATTTCATCAGTGAATACAAACATTAAATCAGTCAAAAGTGTCTTAAATTGATCAGTTTCACAGCTAGATGTTCTGCTCTCTCTATTTTCCTCCTGCAGGTTGGTGACATTATAACACAGGTGGAGTCGGTGGATGAGCAGTGGATATTAGGAGTTGTGGGCGGGAAGCGTGGGATTGTGCCTAAAAACTACATTTCCCTTCTGTGATGAGGAAATGCTGAAACAGTTGGGAACAGCTAGAACACATCTTTCTCTCACTTTCTGCAGCACAGTATAAACACGCCTCCCTCACCTTTCAACACTACAGACACTTTTCCTGTGGGAGGTTTTTATGTGGACACATGAATCAGGTCCAGTGTTTCAGTGTTTTTAAAATTTAAAAGGCAGTTTTTAATGAAGCAGAATCAGACTGGTGTGTTTTTAGCTGTAGTTTGGCTGCTAAACTGGAGAAACTGGAACTCGGATATGGATGGATACATGATGGGATTAACTTCTGGATTGACAGCTGTGGCTTGATATTTTCATGGCAACTGATGCCTTCTCACAGTTGTCATGGTGACTGCGAACTGGATGGACCAATGACGCAGTAAAACTGACATTATGTTGACTTTTGTCTCAGCAGCCTGTCACGGTCTGGTCTTTCTTCTGAGACTCTGGGACTGGATTTGACTTTATTTTTTTTTTTGGATTTGACCGGCCTGGACTCGAACCCCTGCACTAGTGAAAATGGTTTAAGTTGAGCTGCATGACAGGAATTTATGGACATTGGCTGGACATCTGCTTCAAGGAGCTGCTTGTAGACGACTTCAGCCATTTGTCTTTGTGTGTGATTGCAGGTTTCTAACCTGTTATTACATGTTGGTGAGCTGTTTCTACGTGCAGTATTTGAACCGGAAAGCCTCAGCGGGTTCACAGAGGAGGACTGATTTGGTTAAAATCTATATTTGACTTCAGCATTTCCATCCTGACCCAGAGCAGATTAGGGACTGAATTAAAACTGAGTAATGTGGAGCTTGATGGTGAATGATTGCCGGGTCATGCGCTGTCACAGTTAATATTTCTACAGAGACCGAAGGCAGACGAGCGGGGAGTGTAGCCGGGATGTCAGTCGTCCTGTTGACCTAACCCTCTGGAAGGGGAGTGCCAGCTGTGGTGTGTTGGTGTGTGACCTGTGTAAAGCTTTGTGCTTTCCTTAACTGTAACTGCTTTTATCTTGTAGCGCTACAGAGCAGATTAGGGACTGAATTAAAACTGAGTAATGTGGAGCTTGATGGTGAATGATTGCCGGGTCATGCGCTGTCACAGTTAATATTTCTACAGAGACCGAAGGCAGACGGGCGAGAAGTGTAGCCGGGATGTCGGTCGTCCTGTTGACCTAACCCTCTGGAAGGGGAGTGCCAGCTGTGGTGTGTTGGTGTGTGACCTGTGTAAAGCTTTGTGCTTTCCTTAACTGTAACTGCTTTTATCTTGTAGCGCTCGGTGAGCTGAGGCCAAGAAAACGCCACTTCAGAGACAGTTGTCAGACAGAATGAGTTGAGTTGAAATCAACTGTCAGACAGTTTCTTAAACTCCGTTTAAGTCACTGTCAGTACGTGGAGGTATTTATAAACTCTTTTAATTTTTGTTTTGCACCTGTCGTCTGCTGCAGACCAGTTTGAGTTTCAGCACGTCGTACAACCGTTGTCCAGTGCACCATGTTTTGTTCATTAAACATTTTCAGCTTTATTGCAAATGAAAAAAAAAAAAAAAAAAAGCAAAATAGCCTAAAATTTTTATTGAATGAAACATAAATTCTTGTTTTAATACCAGTGAATTTTTAAAATATAGTGTACATAATTTGTATTTAGTAGATTAAAACCTGCAACAGAAACTCCACACTAGGAGTAAACAGCTCAATAAAAGCAAAAAACACAAGTGATACACTACAAACTTACACCTTAGATAAATGTGATATGAACGTATTATATAATGGAATGAGCTTTACAACACTTAATCACATTTAGTACTGAAAGATGTTTTCATAAAACATATAAACAGGTTAAAAATTTAGTATCGTCTGAAATAAATGACATGTAAATACAGAGTGAGCCAGTCGCTGCCATAGCAACCGTTTGCTGGAGAACTTTAGCAGAAAACCGGTGAAACTGAGGACCTAGAATCTATTTTACGCCCTGGTTGTCTCGTCTGTTTTGTTTTCCTGCAGCTAAACAGCGTTGTGTGGCAGCTTTGCACCATGCAGGTACAGTGCTGACAATACAAAGTGTGTTTGTCACAGCATTAAAGTACAGTTTGTTGTGATGGTGCGGCGTCCTCGCCACTTGGGTTATACACACATACTCTACTTCCATCTTTCCTACAATGTCTCCACTTTTCCTCAGAATCTCGTGTTTCCAGACTGAACGCAAGTCGGACCCATCAGCTATATAGATGACAGTATTTTTATTTTTTAGTGACGATAAAACTGTGTCATCAACAAATTAGCTATATTTGATTTTCAGGTTGATTCCTCTCATTGAATTTATGTTATGTGGTTATGTGTCAGACGCCTGGAAATTCAGCATTTTACTTAGTGTTGCAGGGATCAAACCTACATATGACCAGTCCTCGTTTCTCTATCTCAGTCTAAATGTGCTCAGATTAAAACACTCTTTTTTATGTAGTTATGAAAGTCTGAAGACCAAGCTAAAGGTACGTTGCTTTTTTATGAGAAAAATAAACATCTGCAAAATAAAATGCAACAGATGACAGTGACTATGCAGTGCATTAGAGCAGAAAGGGCTTCATTAGGACATTTTGTGCATGGCATTGTGAAACCATTTGAGTCCTGAGGATAACATATTACTGTCAGGCATCATCAGAACTGATTTGTTGGCAAAGAGAAAATCTTGAACCTAATAGGCTGTTTATGGACAAATGTCATGACTATAACACTAACCTGTGTGTGAGAGTGAGAAGGACGCAGTGACAGAATTATGAACTGTTTTGTATGAGATACTTTATGTATAACCAAACATGTCACATTTCTATTTCAAATAAAAATGTTTCATTACTAGCTAGTATTTTTCTGTTTCATCAGAGGCTGAAGTTGAGATGAGTTGCTGTTTAAATTCAGATCTGCTCTAACTGATGATTAACAGCTGAGCATTAATTCAACTAAAAGACAAAAAAGGAAGAAACTTTTTAATTTCTCGAAGTTACAATTATAACACATTGTCCAACAGAGTCTGTAAAATGTTTACATGGACTTCCTTTTTAATCTCAAGGGGACATTTCTATATGATTAAAATCATCACACATAAATCACTAAATCAGAACAAGATAAAAAACAAATAGTTATAGTCAGTGTTGGTTTTAGCCATTCTGTTAGTGTGACCTCGTACAAGAAACTTATTGATCACTAAAAATTCATCTTCAGAAAACATCCTGTAGTTACTGCACCTCTGCTCACAGTAGTTCAGATTGCGTTTGGACTAGATGGTGATCTGACTGCACCAAATCATTAACCTAATGATTGTTAAACTTCCACTGAGTTTACTTGTAAACTTGTCTACTCAAGCTGACACAACTCAGCAGTGTCTCCGTTAACAAGAAGACCCAGTCCAACGTAGAGCGGCTCAGTGAACGTGGTCTGGACTCTGTGGAGGAGAGTCATGGTTTCAGAGACACTGTAGAAGGACAGAATACCTGCGCTGTGATCCAGGTACACTCCTATTGTGGAGGATAGGTGAGCGGAGGCGGGAGCTAAGATGTTGTTGTGTCTAAATGTGTATCTGTTGTTAAAACGAAGTGCCCAAGACTTGGCGCTGTATCCGAACATATGGGTATTCATGTCCCCTGATCGGCTGATGGTCTTGTAAGTGACTGCTACTTCAACGTTCCCGCTCATCTCCACTTCCCAGTAACAACGTCCAGTCAGTCCGTCTTTACTCAGGACCTGAAATACATGAGTTACTCTGTCTGGATGTTCAGGATGTGGCTTGTCTGTTATATTGCATGTTAATTTTCTGTTCCCCTTTGATAAAACCAAATTTTTGTTTGCAGTCTTTGGATCCAGTGTGACTTGACATGAATATTTTAGGAAGTCTGCTCTGTTCTTAACCTCTACTGGTGACCACTTCTCACTAAGGACAGCCACCATTTTCTCTCTGACCTCTGACGCAGCTGCTGTCACATCCTCAAAGTATCTCAGAGGACGGATGTCGATGCTGGATGAGTGTGTAGACTGACTGAGTGCTGACACTGAGGGGTAGTTGAGTAGAAACTGGGTGGGATCCTCTGTGTGTGAGAGCTGCTCCAGACCAGCATCTTTCCTCTTCAGCTCAGTGATCTCCTGCTCCAGCTTCTGCTGAAGCTCTTTGACTCGACTCACTTCAGTTTCCTGCTGGGATCTGATCTGCTTCTTCACATCAGAACGGCTTTTCAACAGGAGACGGATTAGCCGAGTGAAGATCTTCTCATTGTGCTCCACTGCTTTACCAGCAGAGCGACTGATGGCCTCCACCTCCAGCTGAAACACCTTCACATCTTTCTCTCTGTCCTGGATTCTCTGCTGGATTTGTTGTCGACTCCCCTCGAGCTCCCTCTGCTTCTCATTCCTTTCTGCTGTAGCTGAGACTGTGTTGTGGCCTTTATGTTCATCCACAGAGCTGCATCATAGTGAGGCTGCAGGTGTTTCCCACAGTAAGAGGCTCGACAATCTAAACCGGACTTGAGGGCTTTCAGTTTCCTCCCAGTCCAGACATCACAGGCCACATCTTCAGCTCCAGCATAGCAGTGATCAGCAGCAGCAGCTTTGAGTCCAGTCTTCTTCAGCTTCTCCACTAAAGCTGCTAACATGGTGTTTATCATCAGGTCAGGCCTTGGCGTGAACATCGTCCTGCATTGAGGGCAGCTGTGGATGTCTTTCCGGTCTTCCTCATCCCAGTGGGTTTTAATACAGCTCATGCAGTAGTTGTGTCCACAGGAAATAGTCACCGGATCCTTCAGGAGATCCAGACAGATTGAACAGCTGATTTTCACCCTGTCTACCTGGTTTCTTTGCTGCGCCATTTCACCTCTCACAACAGTGAATGACTGACTTTAACTTTCCTTGAAGTGACGTACCTTTTCTTTCCTATATACACATGATCTGCAATAAAGTGACTTGTGCCTCTTGCTCAGCTTGTTGGTCACTCCCATCTCTGACCTTGCAGCTCTATGAAAGGGGATGAACCAGGAAATATACTGTGCCATCAGAGTTGGATTCTGAGAAGAGGGAGGGGTTCTGTCTTTGTTTCAAGGAAGAAGATGCAACAGTTTGATGCTTGGTGACATTTACAGCCCTTTTACACATTTACAGTCGGTCTATAGCTGTGTTCAGCTGTCCTTTCCACATTCACAGTGGAGGTTTTCAGTTTATATATAGTTTTATACTTCCTCTGTCTTTCTACCTGTCACCAGCAGTGTAAGCAAAAAGTCAGATCCTAAAAACCTTAAAACTGAACCTCAGAGTATCTAAAGTGAACATACAGTGAAGGTTTAGGGGTTTTCACGTAGTTTAGTAAAAGTAAACAAAAACACATTTGGTGGTGTTTATGATCTTTTCCATAGTTTTCTGAGTCTAAAGACAAAGTTAAAGGTACTTGGATTAGTATGGAAAAAATAGTTGCTGAACAAATGACAGCATCCACATGACCGTGACCGTGACTGTGCACTGTATAAAAGTTAATGTTTCATTGACTGTTACTTTTCCATTTAATTTTTCATGGCTTTATGAGATCATTTGAGTCCTGAGGAACAGTAAGTGAGGAAAACAGATCTATATTCACCACCATCACCTTTTCCTCTTTTCTGAATTTTTATTTTATGTCTTTTGGGTGTGTATGTTGCACACACCCTGTGCATGACTGCCAAACTCATTAGCGGTCATGTAAAGATGCATCTTGTCAACCACTCAGATTTATGATCACCAATGGAAACAACATAACCCCTGTCTTCAACCTGAACCATTTGAGGACTGTACCTGATAATCCCACCCACCTTTCCAGTCTGTCAAGACAGATTTTATGGTCCACAGTGTCAAAAGCTGCTATGATGTCATCAAAAGCCAGACTGAAATCTGTCCAGAAGGCTGTTTATAAAGCTGTTCAGCTGAATCAAAGCCGCTTTGTCAGTAACTTCTCCACTGAAAGAAGATTAGAGAAGGCCTGTAACTGGCTAACAATGCAGGATATAGGCTGCTTTTCTTTGGAAGGGGTTTAACTCTAGTTTTCAGCAATTTTGGTAAAGTCCCAGACAGGATCCAAGTGGTTAACGGTTTTCAGAACATCCATTTATAAGTGATTGAAAACATTTCTGAAGAAGCTGGTTGACGGTGTCCAAACAGCAGGTGGATGAATTTAGGGTCTAAACTACATCCTCTAGTGCTTTAGCACCAATAGCGCTGAGTGTTGACACTCTAACCGGATTGTTCCTGTGTGGCTGCAGTGGTGGTCGCATTGTTTGACATCGAGGAATTTATGGTCAGTCTGATGTTTTTGATTTTTTTATTAACTAAAACAATAATGCAAACCCATTACACTTTAAGATAAGAAATCAGGCTAACTGTGCTGGGGCATGAGTTAGTCTCTTGACAGTGGCAAACAAAATGAGAATTATTGATATTCCTGTTGATGACGTTCGAAAGAAAGGTTCGTCTGGCCTTATTTACTTCAGAGTTGTGTAGGGTATGGTTCTTGTTACCATGCTAACTCTGAGAGACGAGACAGTCCAAGTAACTTCAAAACAGTGCTGATTTATTGAAAGGATCACAGGTAAAATTAACATTACACGCTCAGATATCTTGCACCTCCAAACTGCTCGCAGGCAGATGTAAGATGAAAGCCCCTGAACCCACCAGGCCTATACATTATATCCCCTCGGTTGGGCTAGCCCCATACTACACAGAAACGTCAACCAAGACGTCTCTGTTACCAGCTTTGCAGCTGGTCATAGCAGTAGTCAAAACATGAAGCAAATCAATGTGTGTGTGTCTGTTGATTAAGTGGTGTGTAACTAAAAACATTCTCACACGACCTCTAGTGACATGTCGTGACTTAAACATAAGAACATATTATGGCTAAGGCTACAGTTATACACATCATAATAATAATATTAAACACCCTGTCTGCTGACAGTCATCAACTCTTCTCTCTAGTTATCCTTGACCAGATGTACCCTGTAGAAACTCATAAGCATGACTAAGCATTTAACAGTCTAACTAGACATCCTATCTCCACTAAACATTTCTAATACATAAAGTATCTATCCAATTTCTATCTGACTAAAAATACCTAACAGTTGTAAATACGAAACCTCTCTGAACATCTCATGAATCTGAAAATTATTTTTCCTCCATTTGTGCTCAGCTTTCCGGCGCTTGTTTTCTGACTTGTGACATCTGCACTGTCTCTCCATGGTGCTTTTTGCTTGCCGGAGATGTTTTATCTTCTCAGGTGCAGTGGTGTCGGTAAGTTCCAGAGTTTTACAGCTAAAATGATCAAGAAGTGCATCAACACAGTGTGATGTTAGGCTTACTGACAGACATGGCTCCTGATAAGATGGAAATAGTATGATCATTTAAATACAGTTTCTTACAGGCTGCACCAAATCTTTAACAGGTTTAACAGTTACTGAAGTGATTCATTATTGATTTTTTCCATTGCCTGTTTTTGTAAATCTATGTGCTTGAGCTCACACAACTCAGCAGTGTCCCCGTTAAGGCCACAAATACCCAGTCCAGCGTAGAGTGGCTCAGTGAATGTGGTCTGGACTCTGTGGAGGAGAGTCATGGTGCGTGGAGGAGAGACGCTGTAGAAACACAGAACACCTGCACTGTGATCCAGGTACACCCCAAGTCTGCAGGATGGAAGGCCTGAGATGGGAGCGCTGATCTTGTTATGTATAAATGTACAACAGTTGCTGCAGTGTAATACCCAAGACTTGTCATTGTATCCAAAAACATCTGTATTGAAGTCCCCTGATCGGCTGATGCTCTTGTAAGCGACTGCTGTTGTAACATACCCGCTCATCTCCACCTCCCAGTAACAACGTCCAGTCAGGCCATCTTTACTCAGGACCTGAGTTACATCACTGAACCTGTCTGGATGTTCAGGGTATGGTTTATATTTATCATTACATGTTATGCTTCTGTTCCCCTTTGATAAAACCAGATAATTGTTTGCTGTGTTTGGATCCAGTGTGACTTGGCATAAATATTGTAGAAAGTCCGCTCTGGTCTTGTGCTCTGTCTGTGTCCATGTCTCACTAAGAACGGCCACCATATTATTTCTGACCTCTGACACAGCTGCTGTCACATCCTCAAAGTACATCTGGTGACTGACGTTGGCACTGGTAGAACCTGTAGACTGACTGAGTGCTGACACTGAGGGGTAGTTGAGTAGAAACTGGGTGGGATCCTCTGTGTGTGAGAGCTGCTCCAGACCAGCGTCTTTCCTCTTCAGCTCAGTGATCTCCTGCTCCAGCTTCTGCTGAAGCTCTTTGACTCGACTCACTTCAGTTTCCTGCTGGGATCTGATCTGCTGCTTCACATCAGAACGTCTTTTCTCCAGGAGACGGATCAGCTCAGTGAAGACGTCCTCACTGTGCCCCACTGCTTTATCAGCAGAGCGACTGATGGCCTCCACCTCCTGCTGCAGACACTTCACGCCATTATGCTGTCCTGGATTCTCTGCTGGGTTTGTTGTCGACTCCCCTCGAGCTCTCTTTGCCTCTCAGTCCTTTCTGCTGCAGCCGAAACTGTGTCATGGCTTTTATGTTCATCCTCAGTACAGAGATAACAGATACACCGCTGATCAGTGCGGCAGAACATCTTCATCACCTCATCATGA